TATATTTCAATATATTCAGGTGAACAGCATTTTTGTGTTGATTTAATTCACTTCTTACTCTAAAATGTTTGTCACAATCATCGAAATCACACACAAAAGGCTTGACACCCAAATGAGAGCGTTTGTGTGCAATTAGATGTGGTTTCTGTGAAAACTTTTTGCCACAATCTTCCACATCACACGTGAATGACTTTTCATGCAAATGTACAATACGTTTGTGTGAATAATAATTAGATAATTGCGTAAAAGTCTGATTACAGTCAATCCATTCGCATATAAAAGGCTTTTCTCCCGTATGTATGCGTTTGTGTTCATTTAGATGTGAACTTCGTGTGAAACTTTTGCCGCAATTTTCTTCATTACATTTAAATCCCTTTTCTTTCAAATGAACACATCTTTTATGTTTAAGTAACCTATCCTTTGATGCAAACTGTTTGTGACATTCACTCGAATTGCATATAAATTTCACATTTAAATCAACACTATTCATATGTGTAGTCAAATTGGACTTTTGGCTACATATCTGTTTACAATTTTTAAAATCACATTTAAATTGCTTGCTATTTGTATGTGTGGATTGATGGTCATCTAAACAATGTTCAAATGGGGTCTTATACTGACATTTAGGCCAAAAACATTGGAAATAATGATTTGCTTCTGAATGTACGGATGTTTTGTGTTTTCTTAAGTAATCTTTAGTTTGAAATCTTTTCAAACAATTATTGAAATCACATTTAAAACTTTTATCATTTGAATGTAAGTCTCGATGTCTAGTTAAAAGACTCTTAGAATCTCCTATATATTGACAGTTAGACCACAGACATGGATAATAAGGACCCAATTTGTCAATGTTTTTGTAATTGGATGACCAAATCTTATCACTTATTTTACATGAATTCAAAACAATTGAATTGCAATTCATTGACAAATTCACTGCATTTTGTGGCAAAACACACTTCAGTTTATCTAAACATTGACACAAACTCTTCAATTTATTTAAATGATTTAATTCACACTTAATTTTAATCAACATTTCATTCACATCTTTTGAACACATATTTGAAGTAAGAATTGATAATTAATAAAATAATATTTTAATCAAATTGCAATCAATATTAAATAATGCATACATCCGTATAACCAAAACTTTTAGACCAAGTGTTGTGTTTGAGACTAACTTTTAAAATTTAAATAAAATTATTTTTAGAAATAGTAAGGAAACTACTGTACAGTAGTGTCTAATTTCATATTTTGAACCCATACGGTATGGGCCCCATAATATGGGCCATACCTGTTATCACATGAGGGATTAGCTTATCAAATAAAGTATTATTTTCTGTTTAACCACACATTTATTTTGAAAACACCTGGATGTATTTTAATTAATCCTTTGATTGACATTTAATAATTAATTTACATTATAATTTATAAATAATTTGAATAACTATAAAAAATACATTCCTTTAAAAAGTTATTTATTTCAAAAATTCAAGTCATAAATGTGGTTGATAAATAGAAATCATAAAACAATGGTTAATCTTTAATCTTTAATCTCATGAGTGCGTTTATGGCAATTTAAACTAGAGTGACATGTATATTTTTTGCGACAATTTTTATAATTGCATTTAAATTTCTCAATTTTCAAATGATGAACATTTTTGTGTTGAGTTAATTCAGATGTTTGTCGAAAACTTTTGCCACAATTTGCAAAATCACACACAAATGGCTTTTCTCCCGTATGCCAGCGTTTGTGGTAAGTTAGGTGCGGGTGTTGTGAAAACCGTTTACCACAGCCCTCGACATCGCATATGAATCGCCTTTCCTTCAGATGAACCGCACGTTTGTGTGAATCTAAATAATATATTTGTTTGAATCGCTGATTACAGTCAACCCAATCGCACGCAAAAGGCCTGTCGTCCGAGTGTTTGGACAGTTTGTGGGAACGGTATGACGAGTTTTGAGCGAAAGTTTGGCCACAATTTTTTACATTACATTTCCATTTTTGGATTTTCAAGTGAACAGACGTTTTGTGTATATATAGACATCTTTTCGTTTTAAATGTTTTCTCACATTCACTCCAATCGCAGACAAATGTTTTAGTTGTAGTCAAATGTACGATATTTTTGTGCTTGATTAAAGTAGATTTATTTTTAAATTGTTTATTGCAACCACTGAAATCACATTTGAAATAATCAATTACTGTATGTTTAACTCGATGTCTAATTAACACACTTTTAGAAACTGCTATATATTGGCAGTCAGACCAAAGACATGGGTAATACGGACCCAATTTGTTAATGTTTTTGTGTTTTGTTAGCATTTTATCACTGATTTTACATGAATTCAAATCAATTGAATTGCAATTCATTGACAAATTCACTGCATTTTCGCATTCAATCCCAAAACACAAAACATTTGCATTTTGTGACAAAAAACACCGCATTTTGTCTAAACTTTGGCACAAACTTTTAAATCTAAACAATTTATTTAATTCACACTTCATTTCAATCATGGCATCACTTATTTCTTGTGAATTCATTTTACTTATTATTTTGAAACCACATGTTTTCGAAAATAACATAAATTTCAAATAAAGTAATGCTTAAACCGGATATGATATTTGTATTTAGATTGATTTGTAAACCTGTTTCTATTACAGTATTATACACATTGTACTGCATTAAAGTACTAACAAGTAAGTTACAAGTATTTTAGTACTACTAACATAAACATTTAACCAAAAGTAACCTTTAGAAACTAATATTTTATTAAATTATTCGTTAAATTTGACAAATTGACACTACAATTAAGTGTTTCAAGTGCCTCAACATTTACACTTGTCAAATTTGTTACATTTATAATTCACTAATATTTTCATGTCTGTCTCATATATAATTTATTTTCAAATATCTCTCATTCATTTAAATAATATTAACAACTTATCAATAATTATAACAGAAATCAATTTCTTTATTCAGTGATAAGTTGACAAAAATCGACTGAATAGCTATAGTCTATTGACTACCGGTGCCGCCACTACTTTCCTGACTTGACTGATTGGTGGGAGCGGGTGGTACAAATCAATTGAATTGCAATTCATTGACAAATTCACTGCATTTTCGCATTCAATCCCTTCACACAAAACACTTGCATTTTGTGACAAAAAACACTGCTTTTTGTCTAAACTTTGGCACAAACTTTTAAATCTAAACAATTTATTTAATTCACACTTCATTTCAATCATGGCATCACTTATCTCTTGTGAATTCATTTTACTTATTATTTTGAAACCACATGTTTTCGAAAATAACATAAATTTCATATAAAGTAATGCTTAAACCGGATATGATATTTGTATTTAGATTGATTGTAAACCTGTTTCTATTACAGTATTAATAATACTGTATTATACACATTGTACTGTATTAAAGTACTAACATAAACATTTAACCAAACCTTTAGAAACTAAACTTTTTATTAAATTATTGGTTAAATTTTACAAATTGACATTACAATTAAGTGTTTCAAATGCCTCAATTAATACACTTGTCAAATTTGTTACATTTATAATTCACTAATGTTTTAATATATAATTTATTTTCAAATATCTCATTCATTTAAATAATATGAACAACTCATCAATGATTATAACAGAAATCAATTTCTTTATTCAGTGATAAGTTGACAAAAATCGACTGAATAGCTATAGTCTATTGACTACCGGTGCCGCCACTACTTTCCTGACTTGACTGATTGGTGGGAGCGGGTGGTGGTCGGGCATATAGTTGGGTCCACTGCCTAGCCGTCTGATTGAAGACTTGCCTATTAGTGCGGTAGGCGAGTGTGGGTCCCTGAGTGAGCGGGTCGTCCGGGTTAGGTGTGGCCAACAGTTGCTGAATGGTGAGCAACACTTTGCTGATGGACAGGGCGGCGCTCCAGGCATAGGATAGTGTGTCCACACATATATGACCATGGTCTGATATGTTCGGGTGGTATATACGGGTCTGCATTTTAATGGACGGCGGACTGAACGGGTAGTTCTGCGGGAACGTTATTCTCACGATAAACAGTCCGCCCGCGTATGGTGTGTCCGGAGGGCCCTCGATATTGCCCACCCATTCAAAAGGGTTAGTGCCGGGCGGGACGGGGGCGGCAGTGATGCCGGGAATGGGATTTCTCTGCAATTCCTGCATCTCTTTGTTGATTCGTCTCAACGCCATTGGATTCACA